TGCAGTAGGCAGTGATTAAAACAATGCTGTTTTACATATTTATACATATATAGCATATGCATATTTGTATGCATATATATATATATATATATATATATATATATATATATGTACACACATATACACAGAGTTATCCTTTCCACATCCTGACTTTCCCCATCATGGTTTTGATACATCATGGGTAGGCCTAAGAAATTAAATGGGATTTCTTTTTTGTAGTTTTGTGGAAGCCACAGATAACACATGAAGGCGAGCAGAAAACATGCATTGAGAAATGCATAAAATATAGGTCAAATATTGTATAATATCAACATATTTCATCTTTTAATACCATAATAATTCAGATTTCTTCTCTGGTACAAAGGAGAAGCCAAAAAATTTTATGCAGATTTTCCAGATTGCAAGGGCACCTGCATCCCACTTCTGATTCTCATGATGTGGAAGGGTACACACACACACACACACACACACACACACACACACACATAATTACAAGCTAGCAAAGTGTTTTATGTAGGTTATCGCATTTGAGCTTTACCATAATACTGCGAAGTAGATACACTAGGCTTATTATTCCCATTCTATTGATGGGAAAACTAAAGCTCAAAAACAATAACTAACTTGCTCATAGTCACAGAGTTAGTGTTAGAAAAGGTCTATGAATCCAGATTGCCAAGCTTTGCATGCTATGTTTCACGCAGGGCTCTCTCAAATAATAAATGTCAGTTAGTTGACTGGTAGTGAGCTCCTGGTCATGAAAGTTTTTAAACAGAGGCTGAATAATAATTGTTGGTTGTTGCTGAAGAAGTTAGGTTTTAGGTAGGAGTTGGGCTAAATAACAATGAGGATATCCAGATAACACCAGCCTTATGTACCAACTGCCAAACAGCTGGCTACCAAGCGTAAACATTCATTAAATTTTTTTTTATTTTTTATTTTTTAGGCAATTGGGGTTAAGTGACTTGCCCAAGGTCACACAACTAGTAAGTGTCAAGTGTTTGGTCTGAGGCTGGATTTGAACTCAGGCCTTCCTGACTTCAGGGCCAGTGCTCTATCCACTGCTCCACCTAGCTGCTCCATCTACTTTTTTTTTTTTTTATCTCCATGGATGTCTGGTATCATATAGACAAGACATTTGGAAAGCAGCCATTTTTCCCCTGTATGCCTAGATGTTTGGTATTGAATTGGCATGATTTTTTCCAAAAGGGTTTCTAATTTATCTTCCCCCCTACTACCCCCCCGCTATTATTGAAAGTGAGTTGTAAGTGAACTGATTCAGTTGGGTTTCGCTTGCAAATCAATGTCACATATAGCTGAGATGATAAAGCATCATATTTCAATCCAAGGATGAGGTATTCCTTTAGTACAGAAGCATTATGCAGTGGAAAAGTACTGGATTTAGGGTAAGAATATCTGTCTTCCACTACCTGTGTGGCCTTTTGGCAAATCAATGCCCCTCCCTGAGCTTCCTTTTCCTCATCTGTAAAATAAAGATGTTGGACTAGTAGATCAGATGTGTCAAATTCACTGTGACTACAAAACTCCTATGTGAAGCTGGGACCAGATTAAAATGTATTTGGGAAATGTTTCACAAAATACATAAAAATACAATAGAACATAGATAATGCTAATAAGTAGTTTTCTAAGTCAATACTAGCCCACAGGAATCCCTTTCTACTTGAGCTCAGAACCACTGGATTAGATGATCTCTAAGGCCTCTTTCAGTTCTAATTCCCTGAGCTGTGATTCCACAAAGTAGAACCCCCATATAGACTTGCATAGCAAGCAATGAGTTTTTTCCTTCCAATAAGCCCCACCAAAAGCCTGAGTTTACATGATCTCAGAAGAACCAATCAAAGCCTCAGTTATAATTCATGGGATCGAGTGAAGTAGATACTGTCATTTATAGGTTTCCTGTTCTTTTTTGGATAGATTGAACTTGGCAAAGAAGAGCTTTTGAAACTGAATTGCATCTAGTTGTGCTGGATTAATTCAGATGAGAGAAGTGGATAGTGGATAGGCAGGTGGCCTTAGCATTGGGTTCACATCATGTACACATGCTAGTGATGTGACAATGGGGACACATCATTCAACCTCTCAGTGCCCCATGTCATTCTCTAAAATTCTAAGTTACAAAGCAGCTGAGTTTCTTCATCAATGGAAGGTGTTCTTATACTAAAGGTTGCTTACACAGATGAAACTGAAGGTGTAAATTTCCCTGCCCCAATATTACCATCTCCCTTATAGAACAGTGGACATTTTCTCTATATGAGATGTTTAATAATTATGTTCTAGCAGAAGCCTTCAGACTTATGAGATTGCTGCCTCTTGAGATCACATTATGATATTTTTTTTCGTGGCCTAGTGGTTTTAAAAATTGCATTTGGTTGGGTTAGAAGTGAAAGATTAGCCAATTGCTTTTGTTTTCCAATGGCAAGGCTGGGGTGTAAAATAGCTTTCTCCTACTAATTTCTTCAGTCCTGATGTTTAACACTTTATATTAACTTAAAAGCTTAAGGAGAGGGGTAACTATCTAAAATGAAATATTAATAAAAAGTTTATTCTTTTTAACTTATTTCTTTTCATAGTATGATGTATTGATCACAATATTCTTAATTATGGCTATTTAAGAGTCTATACTAAGAGACAGAAAGTTAATTTATGGGCTTTTTTTCTAACTAGACCTTACTTTTACTATGATACTACTAAGGCTGTGTCCATACAATGCCAATAAATGTGGATTAAAAGTTAAAAATCTAGGCAATCACTTGAACATTGGTACAATGCCAAACATTTGGGTGTTTCTAAATACCCAGATGTTTGTCATCATCAGGGACTTCAAATGATTGACTGAATGTCCCACTTTTCATCCACATGTTTTGGCATTTTGAGGACACAGTCTCAGTCTCAGTTATCACAGAAAAACAGCTGTGGTGCCCTTATTATTTCTAATTAATTGAAAAGGATGATTTAAAAAAAAAGATCCTGTATACTAGAAACACTTCTTCCTTTTTCCAAAATGTAAACATTCACTACATTATCTAAGGTGGTATTTGAACTTCAGAGAGTTAGAGGTTGGCCAACCAGTCTCAACTTTTCTCTAAGCAAGCAATGTGATCTCTCTCTCTCTCTCTCTAAAGTGTAAATGTTACAAACATATTCCAGGTGGCCATGGCTGGGCAATGTCCTTTCATGCCGTACTTCTGGTTATACAAGAAGTGTATTTTCATAAGGGTTGTCAAGAAGCAGGAAACCTTTAATAAAGCACAAAAGGTAGGACTTATTTTGCATCTTTCACTGAATCGTAAAGGTGACTGAGGGAAATTTAACAAACCTCTTTACTCTCCTTACCAAATACAGTCTATATTTTGGTTTGAATGATACAATTTGGAGTTCTAACCAATACACTTTGTTCTCTATCAACTTTGAGAGAATAAAAGGCAGAATGAATACCAGCTGGATCAAGTCAGCATCAATCATTTGATATTTCTCTAATGCCTTGCTCTCTTTTGTGTGGGTTCACCCTCTAGCAGTGCAGACAACTCCTCTATGTTTTTTTCATTTTGCATAATTGTCATCTGTACTCTTTGAGTCCTCTATAGAGGATCCATTCAATACATGAGAGATTTTCTTCCCATTTGTGGACTATCCATTTTCACTCTATAAGCTAGCCTATTTCTTTTCCTTTTTAAACCTAATTATTCTTGACAGTTTTTCAGTAATTAGGTGGTTTTTTAAAAATCTACTTTAATAAAGCCGTTTGGAGCTGTGGTTGTTAACAATATCTTATGGATATGGAGAATGCAATTGGCTAGTACAATGCTATGCATATATTAGGTACTTAATAAATGCTTGTTGTGTGAAGGAAATGAGGTGATACATTAAAAAAATGCTCAAAAGTCAAAACGGGGGTGGAGTGGGGGTAGGCCAGATAAATTTAACACCAGAGAATCTATACCTGAAACAGAGCTCTAAGTGCTATTCTTTTCCTGCTCCTTTCCCTGGATACCCACCCACTTGTGCAAGGTACAAATAAGGAACAAAATGATAGAAAGGAGACTAACAGAAAGTGAAATGATGGTCTTGGGTCATAGGATCAAGATTTAGAACTAGAAGGGATTGCAGAAGCCATCAAATCCAGCCCAGCATAAATGACAATGAGAAAATTCAGTCCTAAATTACACTCATTCTCAGTGTGTATAGATATATGCTGTGCACATGTGTGGGATTGTGTGCCCATAAGTATTTAGATATGTTTACACCCAGATCATCAATTTAGTGGACTTTGATTAACTGTGTCATGTCTATTCTCATCCTAAGCATTTAATTATTCAACTATTTATTATTAAAGGCGCATTTAAGACTACTGAACAAGAAAATACCACAAAAACATAATTTATCATTTTGTCAAGCTTCACAAAGACTGTTTTGATGTTCTGGGTGATTCTAATGAGGACAGCAGTCATCAATTAAATAAACAGCCCTTAAGACTGAGAATAGAAGTATCAACCTAGACACAATCTTTTCATTTTCTCAAGATAGATTGATGGTTGATGGACTTTAGCCACAGTTCATATATAGTCACACATTTTGAACATATATGTATATACATAGCTCATGTATAATCTCTCACACATGTATGTGTGTATATATAATATAACATATGTACACACATAAACATATCTATCTTTCTCAGCAAAGACTGATAGTTGATGGCCTTTAGCCATGGTTCATTTACATCCAGACATTTATATGTATACATACAAACATACATGCACGCTACAAATATGTTCTTTATTTTTCTTATGAAAGAAAAATTTGGCCTGTATTCTTGAAAATTCTTATTCCATTAAAGCTTTGACCATGACTTATCTTTACTGCTATAAGCTTGGTTAATATGAATCTCCTACTAATTAGATCAAAACCCGTAGAGTTTTCTTGCATTTAAAAAAAGACATTTACTAGAACTTTAAAGATTCATTCTTAAAGGAGTGGCTTACCTTTCTTTAAGCAGAGACTTTCATTGGTAGATTCTCCTTTCTTGTTGACATCTATTTTCATCCAGCTATGGAGGTATTTCCTGCCCCTCTTGACTACTACCCTGCTGCCTTGTTTCTTGAGGAAGAAAGAAGAATTTGTCATCTCAAGGAACCCTTCTTTCTCATGGCATGTCCATGTGGGAGCCTGAGAGCAGTTGAGGAAGATGGCAGCTCGAGAATGGGAAGCTGAGGAATTAGAGATGCCCAGACACTGGGAAGATTTAACATGGAGAAGTTTTTCATCATCTGTCCACATCCACTGCTGGTTTTGACTGGTTTCATTGCATATGGCCACTGACACCATCTTACTTTCGAAAAGGCATTGTTGTTTCTGGATGTGGATAATCTGAAAACCCTCTGGAAGATGGAAAATCTCATAAAAATATAATAAAAACTTGGCCCACTTAAAATAATGCATAAGCCCCCAAATGAAGATACTAAAAAATAGAAAAATTCCTTTTGTGTTATTTCAGTGCATATACTCAGAATTAGCTGAAATGGTTTAAACTCACAAAACTGTCATTTTAAAATGTCAAGAGGTATCATTAATTCTCCTTCACTTTACTTTTATCCAGTTTATTACCATGAAAGGAAAAAAAAATACATGCTGTCTTTTTTTCTAACACAGTGATGAAATAAAACTTGAAGAAAAACAAATCACCTAAAGAATTTGGTTTGACTCTTTAGCTTGATTCAGTATATAGACATTTGGGAAAATCCATGTTCCTTTTTCACTAAATACATCTACTCTCTCCATCCTATCCCTTTTTTCCACTCCAGAGAAGCAATTCTTTTCCTCAATTCATATATCTTCACATTGAAAATTATTTTAATATATATTAAATTAGGGTAGTGGTGGAAAAATAAACATCATCAAATGTGCCTTCTTTTCAAAGGCTCAGCACCCTAGTTAATTAATGAATTATTGACTAGCCCAGAGATAGTTTTTCTTATAGAATGTTTTATAGCATATTTATAGCAGCTCAATCACATTTCTGCTTCTCTTACTTTTTTTTTTACAATCTCTATACTATATTCCTTAAAACACTAATTCATGTGAATTAGAAAAATCAGTATTTTCCCCCATCCAATTATATAAAAACAGGGCAGTTAAGGTTAGACACTTGCGTATAGATTCATAGTCAAAAGAATTTTCAATGTTCTGTTCCCCACTATCCCAGCACCCCTCCCCCATTTGGCCAAATCTCTAGCATTCCCAAATAAAGTATAATTATTATATTCCCTTTAATTATATTTTAAAGGTTCTCACAATAAAGTGTAGCCAGGTCTTAAGAAGAGTTCTCCAAACATTGGAACATGCTACAGAATGTTAATAAATATTAACAATGTCTCCTCAAAGTATTTTAGCACACTGGTATGCTATTACCATACCTTTCTGGAGGAGATAGAAAGTTTATATGAAACTCAAGCAGAACATTTATTTTCTTTTGGAAAGAAATCTAAACAGCACTGGCATACTTGGCCCTTCTCAGCCCCTTTCCTCATTGTCCCTGGATAAAATGAAGAGAACAGGCTCCATTTCCGTCACATTTCAGACATTTTTCAAAGCCCAGGGCACCCTCAGCTGGATGTAGAAGAAATGCCTCTGAGACTTAGAGAGTAATTTCACTTACCTGAGTTTCCAAAGATCATGCAGGTAAAAATCAGCATGTAAAATATAGGCTCCATTTTCGACTTAACAACTCTTCTTGCTTCACTTGGGGGGGGAGAAAAATCCTCCCAGATAAGAGAAGCAAAGGCTAGGAAGGAAATGTGCCTTCATGGTGGGGGGGAAAAGTCAGTGACGAGCACTTCCTTCTATTCAATTGTCTGGGGGAGTTTTATACCAGATTGTCCTTTCGTCTGTTTCCTTAGAATGGAGTGAACTATAACTATCCCCTTTTTTATGCAGACAAAAAAGAAATTCCAGACATGAGGAATAGACAAACTACTGAGTCTGCACCCGAAGTCACTTTGACAGATGGATTCTCTTTTACCTAAAGAGCTAATGAAGGAAAAGACTATAATCTCCCCAAATTAGATGAATGTTCATCTAACATTACATCTCTGCAGGTGATTTGGATTCTGCTGAATAAACACAAACCATGTAGTTTATGAGGATCTACAAATATGGACTGTTTGGATAATGATAGACTAACAACTTATCAAGGGAAAAAATCATATAGCAATGGTCCTTATTTTCAGTTCATTGTCCCTTCTGAAAATTGTACATTAGGCGATTGAAAACTCTAGCAGATAGAATTAGAAATAGTCAAACTGAAGTGAAACAGGTCATGTAGGGTGATATTTGCCCACCCTGTGCTTCTAATAATGAAAGTGGTTTCTTTCTTGGGGTCGGGGGTGGAGGAATGTAAATGATCCACTCAATATTTAGTATCAAGTGAGTTTATTGGCAGTATGAAGCAAAATCAACATCATCACTGCATTGATAGCTCATATATTCGCTGAACAGGTGACAAGAGTGCTTGCTGAACATAATTACAGCTGCTCCACATATCTCTTCAAGATGAGATCCCTATAGAAATAGAAGGATTGTCCCCAGCAGCTTCATTCAGAAGAGCAGTCTGCACTATTCCCAAGGTCATCCATTGCTTATTAGGAAGAGAGAGAAAGGCTATGGGTAGACAGCATTTTCAAAAATTCCCTCTTAGTAAAAGATTGATGTATATTGAAAACCCTTGGTATTTCAGAATCTACAAAGTTTTCTTTAAAAGTAAAAGGACTCACAATTTACAAACACACTGGATTGAACTTTGGAGCAGAAGCAGCCTTCTAAGACAATAGTATAGAATAATTAAATACACACACATACATATCTCAAATGACAAACATTGTGCTCTGTAATAGATTGATAGGAGCTACTATAAATAGATACTTAATACATAAGATTATCAAGAACACATTTTCATATAAAAGAGTTACTGCTTTTGATGGTTTTTTTTTTCCAAAAATGAGTACTTCTCTAAGAAAAATCCATTGTCTTTCACTTGCAACTTTAGCAGCAAGATTCTGGTGGCTGGAGAAGGAGCTCACCACATAATAATAATAATAATAATAATAATAATAAATAATAATAATAGCACTTAAGACAGGTACAGTTTAACAGCTGACAGTCCATTCACAAGACAAATTTTTGCAAACTTTAAAGCAACTATACACTCAATAATCATTTCTTCTGGGGATATTTCAATAGTCAACTGACTTCAGCAGAATTACATACATACATTCTGTGTGGCAGAGAGTCATGACAGAAAATGTCCTTCTTGAGGATGTATGTGAAATCCATTACCCCATCAACATCGTACCTTCTTTAAAATCATTTTTGGGCAGCTTACAAATACATTCATATACAGGCAAGGTCTGGTAGTCTTTACATAATTTTTCAGGCCTTCCAAAATCCACATCGCAGGCTGGCTTTCAAGCTTTCCGTTGTTGTTGTTTTCCATCCCAGGAATCTCCTGGAAGAAGCCACTGGTAGGCAACACATTAAATTCTCTTGAGAGACTATCATTGAACTGAATCTTCAACATTTCACTGGACAGCTTCTGCAGACAACCTACTTTCATAGAGACTCAGTGCATGATGAACAAATTCATATTGTTCACTTGTCTGAACCATCCCGCCCCTGCAAAGAAAGAAAAAGAAATGAAACTCTCATTTGATCTAATGTAATCTAAGTAATGACCAATTCTCTATAGAGATCACAGCCAACCTATAACCATTACTTCAAGAAGATTGCTTCTTAGAATCAACATTCTTGCTATTACTCATAAGTTTCATCTATAAGATACAACTGAGAAATAATCAAAGGATTAATTCTGAGGCTGAGTTTCTTCTTCAACAAATATATGCTCATTTGGAAGCCAATTATTACTAGTCATGATTCACATCACTGGACATAACCAATTATTTTGGTCTTTGAATTACATTGACCAACAATGAAGTAAGTGGCTGCCATAGCTGCCACCACAGATGAAAAGGGCATGCTAAGGAATCTTATTTCTTTATATCATAAAGACAAAACTTGGAATATGATGGGCATCTAAAGACAACAGTGAATGGCTCCTTGAAAGATTTAGAGCAGGGATCCACAAACTATATAGTCTGCTGCCTGTTTTTGCATGGTTCTTGTGGACCATAGCTTGCTAACTCCTGATTTAGAGAAAAGGGATTTTGCAAACTTCTTTCTTTCATCATCATAATCACCATTATTTCTCCATTCTAGTCCTATTTTGATGCCTCATCATGAAATTGAGGTGACTTTTGATTTTTTTAATCACCTAACAAAGTGCTTGTCACCAAGTAGGTGCTTAATAAATTCTTGTTGATTGATTGGTATCTCTGATAATGGAGTTCCAATTCTTTAAGGCTCCACCAAGCTAGAAAAGCTTCAAGCATAGACTGAGAGATTCTGTGCCTGTTATCTAAGGGACCCGGTTCACTAAGTTAGTAATGGTTTATCAAGAGAGTTAACCATCAGGCAATATAATTTTTTGGCCTCAACAACTCATGATAGCTTTTATTAAGGCACAGAGTATGAGTTTCTAATCTGGGATCCATGAATTTTAAGAAAACACTTTGATAACTATATTTTACCATATTGTGTTTCCTTTGTAATTCTGTGGATTCTATTTTATGCATTTAAAATACTTTTTTTTGGAAAAGGAGTCCTTAGGCTTTACCAACCTGATAAAGGGGTCCATGACATAAAACAGGTTAACCCTTCAATGGAAAGTTTGTGATTTGCATCAGTGGAGGGAGCACACATACACATACACACAGATAAAGCCACAGGTTTTACTGACCATTATCATAATTATTAATAAAATATATAAATTATATATATATAATTATATAACACATACATACATACATACATACATACATACATACATACAGATAGATAGATAGATAGATAGATAGTCTTTGCTGATGGTACTTCTACAGGCCTACACTTCTGGAGATGCTATAGCAGTAGATATTCTGGAGCAGCTAGATGGCACAGTGGATAGACCATCAGCCTTGGAGTCAGAAGGACTTGAGTTCAAATCCAGCCTCAGACACTTGACACTTACTAGCTGCGACCCTGGGTAAGTCACTTAACCCTATTGCCTAGCCAAAATTTAAAAAAAAAAATAGATATTCCACATTTTTGCTTTTTTATAATTATGTATTATACACTTGGCAAAGGTACCTGACACTATCCAATTAATTTGAATGTTGAGAAAATGAGATTTGGATTTGTGGACTAGGTTTAAAACATAGCATTAATGGACTGACTTTTGGCAGGGAATGGAATGCCCCAGAAAGTAACAAATTATCTATCTATCTATCTATCTATCTATCTATCTATCTATCTATCTATCCATCTATCCATCCATCTTCTTTTAATTCTAGTCAAGGGGCCTAACCACTCTGACTGGTGGCTCCTTGTGCTGCACTCATTACATCTAGGTCAAGGTTTAACCAATCTTGTCATCCCTTGGCCTTATTCTCATTCTGCCGCTAAGATAAGGCTCCATGTCCTAGAGGACTTAACTTTTTACCTGGAACCCTAGTATCCTGATTGGTGGATGCCTCATGTCAGTCACTACATCTAGGTGTGGACACAGCCTTGCCTCATTTCACTCCCTGGCCATCTTTCCATCAGCTGCTTTGCTGAGTGCATGCCCTCTACCTTATATCTCCATGATTCTTTTTCTGGAACCACAATCAAATCTTTGCTTCTCAAAAGGGTATGTTAATCTAATTCCCAATGGCCCCAAAGAAAGAGCAGGGAAAGAGATGGAGAAGGGCCAGAGTCAGAGAAAATGTTCACACTACAGATTAGATTTGTGTTTAAGTATGTCCTAGGTACATTTTCATTTTTGGAGAGCTGGTTAAACATTTACCAGCATACCCTTGCTCATACATATTACCTTCTTCTTAGAATTCAAGTTCTTAGGGGCAGCTAAGTGGTGCAATGGATAGAGCACTGCCTCGGAGATCAGGAGGACCTCAGGTCAAATTTAGCCTCAGACCCTTACTAGCTGTATGATCCTGGGCCAGTCACTTAATCCTGATTGCCTCAAAAAAAATAGAATATAACTACTTTGAGGCATTTCTAACTCCAAAGCTTATCACAATGCTTGGCACATATTAAGAGCTTAATAATAAATGCTTTTTAATTGATAAATTCATCCATTCATACTTATTTAAGGAAGAAGAACCATGTCAGAGAGAGTTAGGTGTAAATCAATGGACATAGAAATATTGTGTATATTGTTGTATGCTAATAATTCTCAAACTTTTTGGTCTCAGGACCCTTTTATACTGTTAAAACTACTGAGCCTTTGTTTATATGGGTTCTATCTATTAATATTTACTGTGTTAAAAAATAAAATGACAGTATTATTATGAAAATAGTATTGACCTTCTGGACCACCTGAAATTTTCTTGGGGGTCCCCAGAGGTTCTTGCACCATACTTGGAGAATAGCTATTAGGGGTAGTAAGGCTATAGTTTATAGCTCACCTGAGTAGAAGGAAGAACTGAAGAAGGAGCTTGATAAATACATAATGAAACTGGAACAGAAGCATTATATTGTAGTAATAGAGGTTAAGCTTTCTGGACTGCTGAAACATACTCTCTTTCTCTCTCTCTACTAAGAACAGAGCAACTCAGATTTGTGTCTTGCTTTTCTTGTACTGGTGGAGGTATACTTCTAACTGTGTGGAGTAGGAGGGATATTGCATTCAGTTCTGGGAACATTTTAGGATAGCTGAACTTGCGTAGAAGAGGATGGAGAAAGGACATGCCAGATAAAGATCTCTCAAAGGAATTAGGGATATTTACCTTGGAGAAGAGAAATATTGGGAGGGTATCTTCAAGGATGTGAAAATCTCTCATGTAAAATAATAATCACAATAATATTGACTAGTATTTACAAAGTGCTCTAAGGTTTACAAAGTGTTTTACAACTGTTATCACATTTTGTCCTCACAATAACCCTGGGAGGTGGGGGCTATACAATGTCTGAGGTCAGATTTGAACTCAGATCATTCTGATTCCAGGGTCAGCACTCCATCCTTGTGCCTTTTAGCTGCCTTTAAATAATAATAACTAGCATTTATATAGAGCTTTAAGGTTCACAAAGGGCTTTACGTATGTCATATACTTGTTTTTTTTGATCCAGAAGATAGAACTAGAACTAATGTGTAAAAATAAGAAGAGGCTCAGTTATTATATTTGTATTCCTAGTGCTTGATACATGGGAGGCACTTAATAAGCACTTGAGTATTGATGGGTTGTGTGATAAAACTTCCTATCAATAAGAGACATCTACAAGTGGAATGAGATTCCTGAGGAGACAGTGGGTTCATCCTCTGTGGGAATCTTAAGGCAGATGCTGGACGACCATTTTTCAGATATACTGCAGCAATGGTTCTTGTTGAAGTGCAGGTTGTGCTTCATGGCCTCTAGGGTCCCTTTATGCTTTTTCATTTGATAAGTTTGTGAAATTCTTCTTATTTGCTATTTTAAAAGAACTACAACACAGTTGACGATTTATAGATCCTATAAAACCTCTGTATTCACCTAGTTACAAAACTAACTTTGAAATTGTTTTCCAGCCAGAACTTCTTTTTAGCAGATATAAGGAAGCTGTTAATTCTAATCAGAATTTTTAGGTCATTTGGGATCTTCAATCATATTACGTAGCTCATTGAGACAAAAGGATTACTAATTAAAACTACTAGCCATCAGTGCTATTCTATCTATGCTTACTATTTAGACCCACAGTTCAAAACAATAAACATTTGGCAATTTAATAAATTTCAATGGATCTGTAACTACATTGGTGGGAGTAATTCTTTTCACAGAACAGATAATAATCCAGCCAGGTTTCCTCATCCTATGTGGCTTTTATTCATGTCCTCATATAAATAGGAAGAAGGGAAGGGATCTGCTCAATCAGCTCCTATTATACTTAGAACTTTCCTCTAGACTTCTTGGAGCATTTCCTCATGAAGCAAAGTGGACACTGATGTTAGATTCCAAATGGGGTGGCTCCATTAATGTGGAAAAGAGTTTGCTATAGACATTTATTTTTACAGATGTTGGATTTTTTTTATGTTTACTCTTCTCATTCCAGCTTAATCATTAAATGCCTTTGAGAGGTTGTCTTTGTTGGTTTTTTCATCAAATTTTCTATAAACTTGCTTCTTTCTTCCTCCATTCCTTCTCCTTTATATTTTATGAGCTGGTACTGCCTATAATTTTGCACTATCCCTCCTTATTAAGATATAAACATATGAGATTATATTCTAAATCAAGGTTGGCTTGGCTACCGCTCAAATGTTTGTTGGCTCACGGAGCTTATAGGTCTCATTGTGGTGACTGATTTAGATCAGTTAAAATTCCTTAGGAAATGCTAATAGTCTATGACAATGTCTGTTCTTTTATCCATTTCCTATGTTTTCATAATTGCTAGTTTGTTCAATTAGGTCAGATAAAAATGTGCACATGAAAATAACATTACTTACTATGAAGAAAAACAAACTAGATGACTCAAATCTGGGCAGTGAGCACAAGGTCAGGTCCTGATGATTCCAAAAAGAATTTTTGGCCAGAAATGAACTGGTGTGT